CCCTCCCCCAACCTGGCAAGGACAGGGAAGGACAGGGAGGCAGAGGCAGAGGCAGACATGGAGGCAGAGACAGAGACATGGAGGGACACACAGCCAAGTAGGCTGGAGAGGTGGAGATCCAGTCACGTGATCAGCCTCAAAGCCCAAGACGGAGAAGAGAGGCACAGAGATGCCAAGATCCGGACATTAGAGAGAGGGAGACTCAGAGGCACACAGAGACCCAGAGCACGGCGTCCGGAACTGCAGAAACAGAAGAGATCAAGGATGCAGCTCCCCAGCCTCCCTTCCTCTCTCCCTCCCTCCCACTCTAGAGTTTCCAGCCCCAGCTGTGCCTCCCCCACATACCCAAAGCAGAGTTCTCCTGGCCCTGGGACTGGAAGCCAGCCTCCTCCTCACAGCTGGCTGTGTGTGTGTGGACACGTGTACATGCATGTGCGCATCTGTGTGACGCACTGGGCTAGTGCTTACCTTGTACACAGCCCTCCCTCATTGAACACCTCCTCTGCCCACCACCACTGTTCACATTTTCACAGGCCCAAATCATGCACACCTTTACACACCTGCCACACAGCCAGCCACACTCATTCAAGCCCAGAAACATGTCCTGGGCCTCCCTCTCTCAATCCCATCCACAAAGGGCCAGAAGACCCAGCACACACAGCCCCACCAGAAAGTCTTTCCCCATCCTAAGCTCTGCGGGTCAGATGTCCACCCCTTCCCCCACTCAGCAACCCTTGAGGGGCTCGAACCCCTGCCATTCACAGGGAAAAACCCATAACTAAATATATCAATTCCATCAGACTAGACACTCAAAGGCAAGGCCCCTGACTGTCCTGCTCACTGTTGATTCCCTAAGTGCCTTCGACGGTGCCTGGAAGGTGCTTAAGAAATGTTTGAATGAATGTGTTCACACCGGGTCTCTCAGAGAACCCATAGTAATTGACAGCCACTTGGAGTAAAAAACACGAATGGATACGACAGTGTACATACAAGAAGGCATCATATGCACACCTAGGGCAGTACACTAAATACAGGTGTGTGTGACAGCTCAACAGCTCAATTAGAGGTTATCCAGTTGGCTGTGCATTGGAACCACCCAAGAAGCCTTCACAAATCCCCATGCCCAGGCCCCACCCCAGACCCATAAAATCGGAATATTTTTGGGTAAGACTTGGGCATAGGCATTTTGAAGCTCTCCAGGCAATTCCTTTCTAGGATCTAGAACCCTTTATGTACATGAAGAGACTAACAAGTGTTGACACAGGGGTTATAGCCCGGGATGGGAGTAGAGAGGATTTTCACTTTTTTTTTTTTTTTTTTTTTTTGAGATGGAGTCTGGATCTGTCACACAGGCTGGAGTACAGTGGTGCCATCTCAGCTCACTGCAACCTGTGCCTTCCGGGTCAAGCGATTCTCCTGCCTTAGCCTCCCAAGAAGCTGGAACCACAAGGGTGTGCCACCATGCCCAGGGATTTTCACTTTTAACTGTACAGTGAAGCACAGACTTTTGAGCCAGATTGCTTGGTCTGTACTCTGGTGTCACCACTTAGTAAGTTCTGGTTTGAACATACTCACTGAGTGGTCTTCATAAATTCTCTCTGCACTTGAGTCTCCTGTCTGTAAAATGGGGATAATAATCATTAAAAAGAAGCCTCATAGGATTCTGGTGGAGACCAAACGCATTAATATATATACAAAGTGTTTGGAACAGCTGGCATATATAAGTGCCATATATCTATTATTAAAATAGATATCTCTATTTTAAAACCCTGTCTCTACTAAAAACACAAAAATTAGCTGGATGTGGTGGCAGGCACCTGTAATCCCAGCTACTTGGGAGGCTGAGGCAGGAGAATTGCTTCAACCTGTGAGGTGGAGGTTGCAGTGAGCCAAGATTTTGCCACTGCACTATAGCCTGGGTGACAGAGCAAGACTCCGTATCAGAAAAAAAAAAAAAAAAAAAAAAAGAAGAAGAAGAAAAAGGGAAAAAATTTTAAAGAAGAAAAGAAAAGGTTGGGCATGGTGGCTCACACCTGTAATCCCAGCACTTTGGGAGGCCAAGCCGGGAGAATTGCTTGAGGTCAGGGGTTTGAGACCAGCCTGGGAAACATGGCAAGACGCCATCTCTAAAAAGCAGAAATAAAAGAAAAAAACAAAAAGGGGGGAAAAATAAAAGAAGGGCTTAAAGCCTAGGCCAACCTACTTCTGCCACTTTCCATGTGAGCTTTGGACCAGGCCCTTACTCTGTGTCTGGGAACCTGTCTTCTCATTTGTAAACCAAGTGAGCATCTTTCTCTACCTCAAGGATTGTTCGAAGAATAAACACCTCAGGTGGTGGGCGCCTGTAGTCCCAGCTACTCGGGAGGCTGAGGCAGGAGAATGGCGTAAACCCGGGAGGCGGAGCTTGCAGTGAGTTGAGATCCGGCCACTGCACTCCAGCCTGGGCCACAGAGCGAGACTCCGTCTCAAAAAAAAAAAAAAAAAGAATACACACCTCAAGGAAGTGTTTAATAAATGATGGCGAAACCCACGTATCTGAGAACCACATTGCCTTGATGCATTCTGGGATCAGGTGTGGCACTGTGGTGGCGGTAGGGCCCTGACCTCTGAAAAAAACAGATCAAAACAGTGTGCCCCAAACCTGCACCATACACTGTGCAGGGTGTCTGCTGCCCTTGCCTAAGGGCACAGAGAACATTCCATCCCAGAGGCCCTGGTCCATCTCCTGAGTCTGGTCTCCAAAGTACACCACGGCCCGCCTCACCCCTTCCTAAGCAGCAGACCCTAGGCTGAAACCTCTCCTTTCCCTGAGCGACCATTCCCTTCCTGCCCCTCCCTTTCCATCTCCTGGAGCCCCTGTTCTCACCAAGCCTTCCTCCCATCGCTTCCCTCTCGATATGCGCCTCTTTTCATAGTGAACTCTCATCTTCCCTTGAGTTAAGGGGCTCCTTCACTGTGCCATAATCACCTCGTCAAACTCCCATTTCCTTCCTGGGTCTTGTCTCTCTGCCCCAGTTCCAGAGCCCTGGGGCCCACAACCCTTCACTGCCCTTCCTCTCCCTCTCAAGTTCCTCTCCTATCTCATGTTGAGCCCCAGTCCCTTCCACTGAGCAATCCACCATTGTCCCTCCCCTCCCCGAAACCTCCTTTGGGCCGCCACCTCTCTGAGCCCTCAGCTGGACTCACCAGGCCCCACTCTGGTTCCCCTAACGCCAAATGGGCCCAGCCTGCCCCACCTGGAGAGCCTCCTCAAGTCTCTTCTGCTTCCTCAGCAGCTGCTGCACACAGGCATTTTCTCCCTGCAGGTGACTCTTGGGGCTGAACACAGGCTTCTCTTGGGTTGGCCTATCTCAGCCTCACCCACTGCTTTCTCTGATGCTCCCTACCGGCTCCAATCAGGCTCCACCCTACCCAGAGTGACCTTGCCAAAGCCCTCTCCCCTCCCTAAACACAGGGTGTGCCCAACAGAGCTAACTGCATGTGGCTCTTGCCTCCTGTTAGCCTTTCGAGTCTCTGGGCCTTTGCACATCCTCCTCCTCCTCCAGGAACTCCCTCCCAGCACCTTAGGCTTGGCTCCGTAAACACTTTCTCCTGGGAGAAGCCCTCCTCCCTAACTCTCAGGGAATCTCACTGCTTCTTGCCCCCACTTCCAGCTCCATACTGCATCGTTAGCTTGAGTGTAGTGTTGTCTTCCCTGTCAGCAGTCAGGGAGTGTAGGGTAATGTCTTCATCTCTGAGTCTGGGGGATGCAAGGAGGGGGCTGGGTGGGTGGATGAGCCTTTTACATCCAGCACAGAGGCTACAGTTTCAGGGTACTGTGGCCTGAGTCCTCCTGCCTCTTCTTCCAGACAGGTGTGCCCAGGTGTGTTTCCTCCTCAGACCACGGGCTCCTCTGACTCTCCTGAGGCCAGGGCCTAGCTGGTTGGGTCAGGGAGGGCAGGCCCCGTGGTATTACCCCTTGACGTCTCCCTGAGCTTCACTGAAGAGGGACATGAAGCCACACTCAGCAGAACTTAAACATAAAATGGGTCTATGGGAAAAACTGCTTCCCAAAGACCAGCGAGGCCAAAGTGGGCACCATTTGGGCAAGGGCACCCAAGAAGTCCCCAAAGTCAGGGATCAGGAAACAGCTCAGCTCTTCCAGCCCACCAGATGCAGGCACACGGTTAGTTTTCTTTTTCCACAGTTTACCAAAGCTGGGAGGAAACATTTGGAGTTCAGGGTAGACAGAAAGGGGAGGGCAGAGCAACACTGGGGTGACTGGCTTGATTATATCCCAGGTTCTGCATAAGCAGATGTGGGTATATTGGGGTAAAATGAAGGGCCTGGAGGTAGAGAAGACTGATGACCCGGGGCAAATGGGAGATACACAGATAGGGGGTACTCCATTCTTAGTGGGAAAGGGAGGCCCCATGAGGGTTCCTGGACTTACGATGGAATGAGTGTCGCCAAGAGAGGTGTCCTTGAACCAGAGTAGAACTGTGAGGCCCAAAAGCCATGAATACACAGGACACACAAAGGGACTCCAAAGTACACCATGGACCTTGGATGGAATAAGGGGATCCAGAAGCAGGAGCCCCAAACTCTGGCCCATGATGGAGGTTCCTCAGGGAGAGGAAATCCAGGATTTGGGGAGACCTTGGACTTGGAGAGAATATAGGGTCTCAGAGTCAGAGGAGACCCAGGACCTAGGACAAAATGAAGGTCCAAGAGGTAGAACCCCTGGACCTGGGACTGAATGCATGATCAAGGGCCAGGATGTCCTTGGTAGCAGAGTGGGGAGCTCAGAGGCAGGGGAGACCCAGCGCCTGGAGTGAAATGGGGGGGAACCCAGATCCAAGGGTGACCAAGATCTCAGGCAGAAGGGAGAACTCAGTGGCCAGGAACACATGCAGGTATTTCAACTCCTCTGGAGAACCAGTAGCTGGTGACAAAACCCAGCGGTGTCCCTTCCTTGGCCCTCCACCCTCACTCCCCCCCTTCACAAGACACAAGGTTGGTTTTTTTTTTTTTTTTTTTTTTTTTGCTTTTTTTCATTTCTTTTTAATACAAACTTGGATCTTTGGGTGTGTCCTGCCAACAGAAAACAACAACAACAACAACAGAAGAGAAAACCCAAAAGAGTGAAAAATAAGAAAGAAAAAAAAAGCTCCCGCAAGAGGTTCTTCTCCCTCCCCCCCACCATGCGAATTTGCACACCACGGGACCACAGCAGGTTTACAGAATGCAATATACAATCCACGATTTATAATAAAACAGTATATACAATAAATAGGATATTGTTCATTTTTGTCAAACGACCTGTAGATAAATTTCTCAGTGCATACTTGCAGGGGCTCTGGACACCTCGGGGCCCCGCTCGCAACCTCTTGCACACGCTCGCTCTCTCGCTCTCTCTCTCTTTTTTTTTTTGTCTTTTTCTAAAACTGTGTTTTGTTTTTAAGTTTTGTACATTTTTAAAAAGTATTTACAATTGCTGGTTTTGTGCAGAAAGGGCTCACCTTCGGCTTCTGCGTGGAGGAGATGGGCGGGAGGGGGTGGAGGGAGATGGGTCTGCAAGGGGCGTAGGGGGCAGGTGGGAGGCAGAGGGGCAGGCGCTCCTGCCAAAGGACGATGTGGACGCTGGGAGGGATCTTGGCGTTGGTTTTCTGAAAGCTGCAAAGAAACACAAGAGAAGAGGCAGGAGTGAGCAGCAGGCATCGACTGCTCTGAGATCAGGGAAGTGAAGAGGGAGACCCTCACCCAGCTCCTCCTAGGATTTGTCCGAGAAAGCTACCCATTGTTCTTTCTCCTGAAAACTCAGACCTGCCTTCTCTGAGCCCAGTTTACCCATCTGTAAAACATGCATGTCCAAGCCCCAAACCACAGGGTGAAGCAGGTGCTGGTTGAGGAGCTGGGGTTCTAGGCAGTGGAATTTGTTAAGAGCTTGGGCTCTGGAATCAGACACAGCTGAGTTCAAATACCAGTGCTACCCTTTAATAGCGCTATGACCTTGGGCATGTTGTTGGACTTCTGTGAGCCTCAGTTTGCCCATCTGTAAAAAGAAGATAACTGAACTACCCCACTGGTTTGTTGGGAGGACTCAGTGATATAGGGCAGAGGAAGCCTGGTCCTTAAGTGCATAATAAATTATACTGATTACTATTCATTATTATTTTTCTGGGGCAGTTGGGCTCTCCAAACCTGCCTCCTCATGTCATGATGAGTTTAGTAATTCCTCCAACTTAGGCTGTTCTGAGGAATGACATCATGGGGAGGGCAGGGCCTCAGTACACAGCACAGGTGTGAACCACTGCTTTTATTTCTTCTAAATCCAATCCTCTTCTTACCAATGCCATTTTGTTCCTTAGAGAGGTGAGGTGAGGAGGAAGTCTTTCTCAGTGAAGGAACAGAAACTGCCCAACACAATGCCATCTGTGTTTGGCTTAACCCTGCCTTCCTGAAGCTCAGACACTCCCAAGTTCCCAGTTCCTCCCATCGCCAGACACTCGAGATTGGAAGTACCCCTTTTTCCCAGACAGTTCTCATTATGCTTGCGGGGCCCTGGGGATCTGACTTCCCTACCCAGACCCCCAGCTTGGCTAGACCCCTTGGATTCACAGCTCTGCTAGGGTGAGTGAGAAGGTCCCCTGAAGGACAGGGTTGGGCTCAGGACTTCCTAAGAGCTCCAGTCATTAGCCTGGTCCTTTCAGACTTCTGTCCTCCTCTCAGAGCCCCGAGACACACATCTCCCACCCTCAGTGTGCAACCATCTCCATCCGAATTAAGGGGCGAGGTGAGGATGCTGAAGCGGCCTCCTCAGGTTCCTTAGGAGTCCATCAGTCCTCCCCCACAGCAGCAGGAGCCAGGCGGCGACAGAAAGCCTTTCCTCCCTTGTACTTTCTTGGCTTTCCTTTCCATCAGAGCCACATTTAAATTCTGCTCAGCCTCGGCTGCTGTCTGCCGGGCAGTCAGCCCCAGGGACGACTTTTGTCCTGAGGCTGGACTTGCCAGGACTACCCCAAGGTCCAGGGGAACCAGGTGGGCTCCTGCAGAGGCAGGGCAGCACCCCATTCTGGTGGATCAGACCAGGTGGCAGGCAGAGGCATGGGAGAGGAGAAGAGCTGCATCTTTGTTAAGCTGTCAGGTCGCCTGCAGTTACAGGAGGATGGAATACTAGCCGCAGGGGCGAGCGGTGTGCCTGGGAGGGTGACAGCTGTGCTGCAATGGGGTGATAGGTAGAAAAGCAGCTCTTGGGGCAGGGGCTGCTGTTGGGATGAATGCAAGCTCTCCACAGTCAGGCGGTAAACAGGCTGCAGAGACAAGAGGGGTGTCTATTAGGGAGCAGAAGGATTTTATCTGGGGTAACTGCTTGAGCCAGAGGGCTGGGGGCATCTATCCAGAGGATAGCTCTATTGCGGTTGAAGAACAGTTGCCAAGCTAAAGAACCTCTGTTGGGGTGTTGGGTGACAAGGGAAGGGGACTTTAGGATGGGCTGCTCCAAACCACTGGCAAACTGATATTGTCCAATGCCAGCCTCCTCTGCTCCCTCCAAGGGCCCTGGGGCAGGCTGGGAGCCTCTGCATAAATCCCTGCACCCCCACCCCCACCCCCGGCCCTTAGCCACTGCCAGTGACCCTCTCTAAGCCAGGTCTCCATGGTGATCTCAGCCCAGCAGGCGCCTCCTGCCAGAACCATTCCCGCGGTGCCTGCGGCCAGGCAGCAGGAGGCTTTCTCACCCTCTGCTAAGCCGCCCATCGCGTCTCACCTTCCTCCTCCCACTACCCTCCCCAGCTTTCAGGACTTGGCCAGCCAGAGACTTTGGCAGAATCTTCAGGATGGGAGGGAGTGGGGGAGGGGGGAATCCAAGCCCAAAAGCCCCAGGGTTCTCATGGAGGTGGGAGGAGAATGCTGTGGCTGTGTGGAACTCTGACCTCACCAGGTTCAGCTCTCCACAAAGCAGGAGCAGACACTAACACGCAGCCCAGTGCTAGGCACTGGGGACAAAGCAGAGACCAAGACCGATCTGGTTCCTGTCCTTGAGAGGCTCGCAGATAGAGGGGAAAGCAAAGCAGACCCCAAACCAGGTAATTACCATGCAAGGAGACGGTGGCTGTGCCACAGAAGGTCCTGGGGAGGCAGCTAACCTGGTCGCGGCAGGAGAGACTGTGGCTCTTCAACCACTACTGAACACTGCCCAGCACATGCTGGGGCTGAGACATGCGCTGACTGAATGACAGAGCGGGGACTGACCTGAGTCTGGTCAGCATGTCAAGGTCCAGCTCGGGCCTTGCACACCTTCAGAACACCTCCTTATACCACCCTGTTACCATAGCTACGGTACCCTTGTCATCCCGACCTGGCTCCTCCAGGGCAGGAACCTGTATGTGGTACTGCTGCACACCCAGCACTAGCACGCACCAGCCCCCAGCACACCAACCACTGTTACGCAGACTTCACCTTCTAGTGCCTCTGTGACACACAACTGCAGAGTCACATTCCTCTGAGTCCTCACGCTCCGGTGGTTTCACCATCTGAGGTGCCAGGGCATTAAGTGGTCTCTGCCTGTCAGGGGGGGCACTGGCAGCACTGAGGGACAGCTGAGCAGAGATTCAAAGTGCTGCAGAGCACATATAAATCAGTTGTCCAGAGAGGGCTGCTCTCCTCCAAAAAGGAATCTATATTTGTGCTTTCATTTAAGCAACCAGCAAACATGTATTCATGCCCACTGGCTGCCAGGACATGAGTTAAGGTCTAACCTCTACTATCTGGTCTCTACTCTCTTGAAAGGGTCCAATGTCAAACAAGGCAGTAGAGCAGAAGGCAAAAAGAGTGCATGAGGCCGGGCAAGGTGGTTAACGCCTGCAATCCCAGCACTTTGGGAGGCCGAGGTGGGTGGATCTCTTGAGGTCAGGAGTTCGAGACCAGTCTGGCCAACATGGTGAAACCCCATCTCTACAGAAAAAATACAAAAACTGGGCCGGGCGCGGTGGCTCACACCTGTAATCCCAGCACTTTGGGAGGCTGAGGTGGGCAGATCACAAGGTCAGGAGATCAAGACCATCCTGGCTAACACGGTGAAACCCGTCTCTACTATAAATACAAAAAATTAGCCGGGCGTGCTATGCTAGTGGGTGCCTGTAGTCCCAGCTACTCAGGAGGCTGAGGCAGGAGAATGGCGTGAACCCGAGAGGCAGAGGTTACAGTGAGCCGAGATCATGCCACTGCACTCCAGCTTAGGTGACAAAGTGAGACTCCCTGTCAAAACAAAAACAAAAAACCAACACACACACACACACACACACAAAACTAGCCAGGTGTGGCGGCACACACCCTGTAATCCCAGCTACTTGGGAGGTCAAGGCATGAGAATTGCTTGAACCCGGGAGGTGGAGGTTGCAGTGGGCTGAGATCGCACCACTCCACTCTAGCCTGGGTGACAGAGCGAGACTGTCTCAAAAAAAAAAAAAAAGTCCATGTGAATTTGAGAGACTGATTTCCTGTGTGACCCAGAGTAAGTCCCTTCCCTCTCTGGGCTTCAGTTTTTTTTTTTTTTTTTTTTTTTGAGACAGGTTTTCACTCTATCACCCAAGGTAGAGTGCAGTGGCACAATCATGGCTCACTGCTACCTCCACCTCCCAGGCCCAAGCGATCCTCCCATCTCAACCTCTTGAGTAGCTGGGACTACAGGCACATATCACCATACATGGCTAATTATTTTATTTTAGTTTTTGTAGAGACAAGGTTTCATTATGTTGTGCAGGCTAGACTCCAACTCCTGAACTCAAGCAATCCACCTGCCTTGGCCTCCCAAAGTGCTGGGATTACAGGTGTGAGCCAACGTGGCAGCCTGAGTTTCTATTCTATAAAATAAGGTAGTTGAACAGGTGATGGGAGAGATCTTCAGGCACTGCGATGGTGCCCCAAAGACAAAGAGTCAGAGACAAACCACACAGGCTCAAAGCCTGATCCATCCCTGTAACATTTTTAGGCAGCCAGGCCTCTGAGTCACCTCCATGTGGAGAGGATACTGCTTCCTGGGGGCTCAGCCCACAACTGGTATGCAGAAATACCGTTAGAGAGGTGGACTTGGAATTCACTGAATTATCGATGAAGCTGGGATTACAGGTGCGCGCCACCACACCCAGCTAATTTTTGTAGTTTTAGTAGAGACAGGGTTTCACCATGTTGGTCAGGCTGGTCTCAAACTCCTGATCTTGTGATCCACCCACCTGGGCCTCCCAAAGTGCTGGGATTATAGGCGTGAGTCACTGCTCCCGGCCTGAGAATTTTTTCAAATGTGTGTCCACTACTGACCAGAGGTGCTCCTTAAACTCTAGCTCTGCCAGCCATTCCCTCCTTAAGGTTCTTTCCCTGTCTCCGCAGCTGTGGGGCAGTAGGACCAAATGGGGTTCCCCAGCCTTGTGTGACCCTGTGTCTCTACCAGCTCTCAGAGCCTCACATTCCTTACCTGTCCTGGGAGGAGGCTAGCCTCACCTCCTCCATCTCTCTCTTTCTCTCTCTCTCCCCCTCTACCCTGTGGCTGGAGATACCATATGTAAAGACAGGTGTTCCTGACAGGTTTGTGTCGGACACGCAACTGAAGTGGAGGCTGAGGAAAGAGCAAGAACCATGGAACCAGGCAATCCCCAGGCGCCCTTCCTGGCTCTACCTTC